GGGGGGCTATTAAACAGCTAAAGCTTTCCTGTCCTTCCCAGATCAGCAGCAGGGCTCTTTATTTTAGACTGTGTTTGGATACAACACCTGCAGGATCTGGGTTAGGAAGAGGTCCTAGCTGTCCCTATTTTGAAGACCATGAGATTGCACAAGAGCCTTTAATCCCTGGTCATAGTGCTCAGGAAAGAAGGAACTTGGCCTGGCTCCACTGGTTTGCATATTGGGGCATACCATGGATGCAATCTGCCCGAGTGAAGCTAATGACATTGGCATGTGTGGAGCTGCATGGGTGGAGGATCTCTGCCCACCCTGGACCTCCTTGGCTCCTTCTGTGGCTCCATCTGCAGAAATGAGGTCTTAACCCTTTGCTGCCTTGCAGAAGGTTGCATGTAGTGAATTTGAAAGAACCTGGCCATGGGGTAAAAGAGCAATGCTGAGCCAAATTCATCATCGATGCAGTGTTGTTAAGTGAAGAGATGGATGTGCAATGTCTCTCAGCATGAGCTCATTTGAAGAAGTGAATGAATATAAGGGCTTAATCCCAAACCCGTTGTTGGAGGGGTGTCTCCATTGTCTTTAAGGGGATTTGGGTCAATTTCTATGGGCTTCATCTATTTATTATGATGTATTTATTAGTATTGCTCTCTGTGTGGATGGGTTTTCATACATCATTTAATAGCCTGGGTCATTTCTAGCTATGACAGTGAAGGCATTGTTGTTTTGCCAGGACAGCAGAGCAGTAACAGAATAACGTCAGCTATAATTCATCCATTATAGTTATTTGGGTTGAGAAACTTGCATCACCATGGAGACATTTTAATAATAAAGAAAAAAAAAATTAAAAGCAGCTTTTTAATGAGTTGGCAGCTTGTCCAAGTTGAAAGGTACTGTATTGTGGATTCATAATGAAATTTTGGACATGAACTATTTTACATAAAAGGCCCAAAACTGTAGCCTGTAATTGGAACCAGGAAGGCGTATGGTCTTGATTCAGCGCTACAGGAGGATTTGTATACGGCAGGAGGGAGATAAAGCTCAGTGCATCCTACGGGAGGCACAATAATCAGCTGCCTGCCTTTGCCAAATATCTGAGTTTGTGTCCTAGGGTGAAATCAGGCTATAATCACGGCATTTAATTACTGTGAGTCCTCTGTTCAGAATACTGCTTTATGCTTCTTTCCAAATGTTATTTCACTAAGGTGAGGGATATTAACTTGGTGCAAATGTGGTGTGTCTCTGTTGGTACCCCCAGATGTCCCACTTGGTGTCCTCTGCAGGAGCTGTAGCAGTGCTCACTTTTGATGCAGCCCAGCCTGCTCGTGCCTCCCGCCTCCTCCACTGCCTGGTGGGGTAGCCCCATGCTAGACGTCTTAGATGCATTTTAAACACTGGTTTGTTAATAAAAGTTAAAGTAACTCCCAGGCAGAAGAGGAGAGGGTGAGTTCATGGCCTCTTTGTGTTTGAACTAGCTAGCTTTGCTGTGGTTGGAAGAATTCCCCACTCCCATGTTCCTGGTCCCCTCCCTGGGTCAAAATCCCTTATGCAGCCCTGGGATACCATCTAAGAAAAGCCTAAAGGGGCAAAGGAAATCTATTTGAAGCTTATGGGCACTGAGCTTGACTTTTCTTGTGGTTTTATATGGCTACGGATCTGCAGTTTAAAAACGATCCATTGTGTTGTTCCCTTCCCTGCATGCTGCCGGCTGCCACACACGTAGATAGTCCCAGCACACACACACCCTGCGGTGCCCATGCAGGGCTGCCCCACTTTGCCCTGCCATGGTTTAAGATTTCCCAAGCAGATACCCAGTGGTACAATGCAATCCTTGTTTTTGAAAGCCTGGACCTTAAAGGAAAGATACCCTGCAAGTCTCACGCTGTTGAAATGCAGCATCTGAGGAGGTTATGCCCTGTAGGTACCCTCTGTTTCAGTAGGTCCAATCTCCAATAATTGATCAAGAAAGCTCCTTCACTGATGCTTCTGGTGTTTTTAAGATGTCCTGTCTGGGATGTGCATCCAGGCTTTTTAGTTTGGGCTCATCTTGCCAGTCTGAATGGCAGAGAAAACCCAAACAGAGGAGTTGTATCCTGCACAGGGTGTGACTTGATGCTGGTATTGACTTGAAACTTGAAATGTATTCATCTGGCATTGCAGGGGATTGACCCTTCCCCTGCACAGAGAATTGCCTCTGTACTGACTGTACCTGCTCCATACTTCAATGGCTTTAATTCTCCAAACCTTGCAAAAATACAGACAGGAATCACCTGAGATCAGACAGGGTTGCTTTCCCAAATGGAGAAAAAGCTTAGAAGATTTGTTGGATGCTTTTTAATATGCAGACAAATTAGCATCTCTTACTGATTGCTAGACTTCTATTTCTGTTTTCAGATTTTTTTGTCTGTACCAACTGTGAGAGCCAAAGCCACAGAATGCTCTGTTCTCATCTGGAATAGACAAAACTTAATGCAACTTCCCTATTCCCTTAAATAAAACCCTTCAATATTATGTGTGCCTAACTGCCACAGGATGCTTTATTTCCTCTGTCCCTCTGACAAGTTAATTTGGGGACCTCATGATATATGAAACAAAGTTTTTTGCCTTGTCTCCTAAAAAGCTCTAGGACACACTAAGAAAGGGTTAGGTGCAAATAATAGATTTAAGCTAACAGCTTTTTTAAAACCTTTGTTTCCCCAGTGTTATGGTCTCATCCCAAAGCAGCAGACCCCTCACCATCCTTTGCTTGCAAGTTCAAATGTGGGATGGCTTTTGGCTCTGTGACAGATTGCAATAAGGGCTGGGAAAAGGCTTTCTGGTCATAAACGAATGATCCTCAGAGATGCTCAGTTTCTGCGCTTGAGTTTTTAATGTGCCTTTAGAGCAGGTAGCCCTTGGGGGACACTGTTCTACACTGGCTTTGCTGGTGCAGTCTACTTTGGGTTGCAGCCCATCCCAACCCTGTATAGCAATAGGCTTTGGGGAAAAGCCAAATCTTCACCTGGCAACTAAGATGCTGCCCAATATAAATTTTTAGGGTTGATGTGCACACATCTGGAGGGATAAACCTGCGGCGTCCCCATGGGTCATTAGACAACAGGACTGTTTCTGTAGGGATTAATTTTTAAGGAAACCTGACTAACCTCTTTGCTTTTCCACTCCAGCTTCCCCATTCCCAGAGGACTTCTCCATTCTAACCACTGTAAAAGCGAAGAAAGGAGGTCAGTCCTTCTTGATCTCAATTTACAATGAGCAAGGGATCCAGCAAATTGGTGTGGAGATGGGTAGATCTCCTGTATTCCTGTATGAAGACCATACAGGAAAGCCAGGCCCAGAAGACTATCCTCTCTTTAGAGGCATTAACCTAGCAGATGGCAAGTAAGTGAAATTTTGTGCACAAAGGAAAAAAACAGTACATTGTTTATATCGATACCGGCATGCTGAACGTTGTGTAAAATAGGAGTCTCGTATATATAAATGTATATACACACCTTTGACTACTGCCAAGTGTCCCATTCTTGAACTTTGCCCTGTGGTGAATAAATACTGCATATATCAAAAGTGTGAATCACATACCAGTCAGTGTAAATTGGCTGACGCTTATGGGGAATAGGAACACTGTTGACTTTTGCTGCAAAGGGTCCCAAGAAATCAGTTTATCTTGCAAAATCCACACTGAGTCTTTTGTGGGACCTAAGGAGGGTGGAAAAGGGGGATAGCCAGGGAGTTAGTGGTGTGGTTTTTTTCCTCTGCCTCTTGTTGAAGCCAGAACTGGCACCCTCCTACCTCGTTTGGAGGGATGAGAAGTGAATGGCATCATCTGTCGCTACAGCCTTTCTATTTCAAATGAAATCTTTAGGGTCTGCCCAAGGATGATTTTCACGTGTTTGCAGATGATGGCTGTCATGGAGGTTTGCAGAACATAATTCTATGAAAGTTTCATTGTCATACAGTAACTGGCTTGTTCTTGAAAGCCTAAGGCTCTGGTTGATAAATTTGTGGCTCTGGTTAACACATTTGTGGATTGTGTTCTTCTAGGTGGCACAGAGTAGCTATCAGTGTGCAGAAGAAAAATGTCACCTTGATTTTGGACTGTAAAAAGAAGATAACCAAGTTCTTGGACCGAAGCGACCATCCCATCATTGACGTCAATGGCATCATTGTATTTGGAACAAGGATATTGGATGAGGAAGTCTTTGAGGTAAGTCATGATAATGAACAGCTCTGGAGATGTTCCACGGAGATGATGAACTGCATTCTGGTTAACGAGGTACAGCTCACTTTCAAAATTTGTATTGCATTTTTGCATAATGGAATGCTCATATGTAATTTAATTTTTTTAAGTTTTTGTTTTGACTAGGTAAATACTTTCTATAGTGATGATGAGAACAGTGGGCTAGATGACCTGTTGGAGTGAGATCCTCTGGTTCTCTGGTTTCACACCCTTTCTGGGGTTCTAGACCAGCCCCTGCACTGGGATTTGGTAGGTCTGTAGCTCTTATGCTCTCAGCTCATTTAGCATGCAAAGGGCTCACAGGGTTTTCATTCATCCCTGTGTTAAAATTTAGATAAAGTTGCAGGGGCAGTAAATGAAGGCTGAGGAAAGCAGCTCCCTTAGAAGTCATCGTTCACTCTGGGGCTATAGGAATTTACTCTTTTCCCATGCGTTGGCCATTGATTCTTGGATTCTTGCACCATGACTTAAGGGGACTCTCCTTGACAGCTTGTTTGGCAGCCCTGTCACCTCCCACACAGCGATTACTTTTAAAAAGCAAATCAAAATCATGAAGGGTGGAATGTTCCCATGAGCTCCTCTGATTTAAGCAAAGAGATAGAGGATTATTTATAGATAAGGTACATATGGTAGAAGTTCTCCCATAGTTCAGCAGCTAGTTTAATATATGCATTTCGCTAGCAATCTCAGCTTCTGTGGTCTGCTGCACTTCTGAGGCTTTCATGTGTATGAGAATCTTGTCCCTGATCGTTCTTGCAAGCTAGAATTGCTTCACTGAAATCGGTGCCAGTGCAACGGAGTGTAAAGGAAGACCTATTGATCTCTATCGCCTTACTTTTATTGCATTTATGTGGAGGAAAAACTGTATCTCATGGGGCCCCCCAACCCAGCAAAGGGATGTGGAACATCTCCTGTTGGTGAATAATCAGAGCCATAGCATCTGCATTTTGCTGTCAGAAGGAAAGTTCCAGTCTGTTTAACATTACCAACATCTGGGAGCTGGTCTGCTGTAAACAGAGCAAGAATGCATGGACTGAATGCTGCTGCTAAAATCCTAGTTACAGAGTTAGAGCTGAATCTCTAAATTGTATTAAATTAATAGACATTCCCTGGGAAGTTTAACAATTAAAATGGAATGTAAAAGCTGGGTTTAATGGGCACTGGAGTGTCTTTCACAAGCGTTGGATGTTCTGCCAAAAACTTCAGCAGTCACACTGGATGCTGTATTTTAAGTGGAGGTGTTATATAAAGTAGTGAGCTTTTCCGGGGAGCTGCTGGGCCCAGGGATCTAGTAGATCCACTTAAATAACTTGGCATCACATCCAAACTGGATAAGAAAACTGCATTTTAGACTGCTTCATTCTGCAAAGTAACACAGTTTCCATAACTGCCCCTGAAGCTTGAGATGTTCCCAGGTGGCTTTTAGTGCTCAGCCAGATTTAGGACTGCTGATTCCTCTGCCAGGCAGGGGAACGCACGTTTACGGGTGGCAATGCTCTCCCAGCTCTGCTGTTAGCCCTTCCCATGGGGCTGGCCACAGCTCCCTTGCTGAAAAGGACTTATCTTAGGGCTACAAGCTCAGAGGGCTTGTGAAATCTCCTTGATCTTGGGAGGTGGAGTAAAATGGAGCAAGTGTTCCCCTCCGCTGGAGCCTGTTGCCTGTTCTGGGTACAAGATGCAGCTACAAGATTATTGCAGGCACTTGCCAAGAACTGGACAATTAGCAAGTGGGTTTTTTTCCTCTGTCTTATAACATATGTACTGATGTTTTACAGCATGTATATAAAAAACCTCTCTCTAGTTCTGGTATTTGTCCTTTTTTCATTTGTCATCCTTATCAGACAAAGAGGGTTGTCAGTGTATCCACACACACACTAATCAAGATACCAGCAGCTTTAAACTGAATATAATTAATAGGTTTCATGAAGGCAGTGGACTATAACCTAATTTCCTTCATATCTCAGCAACTTAATTTCCTTTGGCCCCTCCTTTCTTCTTTCTGCAGCCTAAGCAGAAACTGTATAGGGAAAATTGTGGCTCAGAACAATGGGAAATGGGTGTAAGCTGTTAGTTATGTATTCCTGGAAAGCTGATAATTTCTGGACCGAATACAGAATGATGAGATGAAGCTGCTGCTGTCCTGTAGGCAACTGCTCTGCAAACCTCAGCTAATGAGATGTTCCCCAGTATTTTCTGCACGCGTGGAGTTGCCTGGCTGTTACACGTTTGTTGCTTTTGCTGGAAATTAAAATAACCCAGTTAGCTGGGATTGAGATGGAAGGCAGCATTGGGGAGGGCTTAGATGGGCTGTGCCTTAGCACGAGTCAGCAAGAGCTGTAAGTAGCGGGAATTCATATCTTCCTTGTCAGGACTGAAATCGGATAAAACCCCAAACACTTTTTGTTTTGAAAGTTGTAATTATTTAAGTTCTGGGTCTAGCTGGGCTTGCAAGCAGTGTGCCCAGATGGGGACTCCCTTGCTTGTACTCTGCTGCAGAAAAAGCCTGGCAGGAAAGGTTAGAGAAGTTTCAAAATATTTCTCTAGCACAACATTCTTCCAGTGGAAAAACTACTTCCTCTCATTAAAATTCAATTAGTTCGGAGGCTGTGTGGATCTCTCTGTACGGCTGGGGGAATGCTGGGTAGGTTTGAAAAGGGGCCAAGGCTGGAGCCTAGGTTATACAAGTTAAGTTTTGTGCTGAGCTGTTGCTCAAAACAAGTTTACAAATGTCAGGACAGGCTCTCGCGCCGGGGTTGGGAAGTGGCGGCCGGCTTCAAGCTGTGACTGAGAGGATGCTGTTGTGAGACAGCAAAGGGCTTTTGGCAGTGAGAGATGGAAAGAGAAAAGAAATAGCCCATGGTGCAGGATAAACACTTTCTCTCTGCTTGCAGGCTGTAGTAAGCAGTGTTCCTGTGGCTACAGTAGCACTGGAAGGAAGTTAGGAGGCATGTGAATGTCTCATTTTTAGAGGGATTAACTGTTTCTTTTGATGTGCTTTAGTTAAACGTAGATTAGAAACCAAGTCCTAGTACAGTCTAATGGTTAGGCGTAGGAATAGAGAGGATGAAATCTGGGAAAGTCCCTTTCCTAGAAAGCAAAGCGTCTTCTGCCCAAGACCCGGGGATACTTTCCAAAATGCCCTGGTGATGTGAAGGCTCTGCTCCGCAGTGATGCACCGCAGGAGCTGCCTGTCCATGCCTGCGATCTATCGTGGCAGTCACCTTTCTGTGCAGGATTCCATCAGTTCTTGTGTGGATACCAAACCAAAAGTGTGAGCCCATCTCTGCTGGCAGCAGTGTGTTGATCCCAAGGCTGACCCTTGGTAGTCTCTGCTGATGTAAGAGCTGAGAATAAGTTGAGCACTTGTCAGGCCAGTGCTTTGCTCGCTTGAGGGTTTACTTGGCTGTTGCACGCTTCTGTTGCATATTGTACCCATCGACCGTGGCTGTGGGCTATTTGGGTGCTTAGACAATCATCTAAGATTGTCCTCAGAAGATGCTCGTGCCAAGGAATTTTTGCCTCATGCAAAACTCATCGCTGGGTTTGGGGATAGCACCTACCTTCCTGGGGCTTGCTCCTTCCATCAGGGTGAGCAATCAGGCTCAAATATGGTCTCTCTCCTACCCCCAACCAAAGCCTGACAAGGCTTTGACACGTTTAGCCGAAACAGTGTGCAGCTCACTTAATCCATTTGACCACTGTGTCCCAGGACCATGCAGATGGCACCTCCCCGTGGGTTGGCTTTTCCAACCAGCTATTTGCTGTGGTGGTCTGGTGGAAAAGCAGTTCAGCTGGCTCTGGACTGAAGGAGTTGTTCTGGTTTAGCAGACGTGGGTTGAAACAAAGTTCAGGTCCTGGCTCAGTAAGGTCGCTGGTGCTGCATTTCAGTCCCAGAAGTGGCTGTATTACAGCAGCAAACAGAGAAATCCCATAACCCACAGCTGGAGGATCTTTATGAATGGAAAGTGCTGCACAATGTCTGTGGCAGGTAAATGTTACCGTCTCCTGGCTGGATTAAGTGAATTTAACCCCTTTGCAGTGGTGTTTTGAAGCATCTCATGTAATCCCATAGAAGTTTGGTTTCTACAATAGTGTGTGGCCCAGCCATGTTCTACTGCTTAGCGTTACTCTGTAGACCAGCACTTACAGCGATGGGCTAATGAACAAAACAAAACTTGTCCAGACCTTGCCAAAGTCCCAGATATGCGATGTCTTCCACATTTCTGCTGCAAACCCCATTTTGTCTTCTGATCTGTCAGAAGCGTGAGGCTGCTGCGCCAATAAAAGTGCCCTACAGCACCTGGCTGGCAGGGCTAGCATTGGCATCGTTAAAATTGTGGTGTGGACATTGGTAAAAAAGCAGGTAGGTTTTGGTATAACTGCTGGGGGTACCCTAGTAACAAGTGAGTACATTTGATGTAAATTATTTTGGGTTCATCTGTTTAAAATCTTGCAGGATTGTCCCACGAGGTAACCGGCGTTTTGACTCTCTGGAAGTAACGTTGGCTTGCAGTAGTGTCTGGTACTGCTGTAGATGAAATTAGTTTTCCTATAAGTGGCAAAGCTCAGTGCATGTTTATATTACTTTTTAAGGTTTATGGTTTTTATTGTTGACTCCTCTGGAGATAAGAGGAGCTTATGTTGTCCAGCTGAGTACCAGGACTGTCTTATGTGTCTAGCTGGTACTGTAAAACCAAGTGGGTTTCTTCTGATCTGCTAAACAAGGTACGAAGTGAGAGGGTCTTGGACACCTGTGGACACTGCTCTTTCAAGGTAGTGAATCCGTGAGGGGCTGACAAAGTATTTGCTATTAGCTTACACCAGAGCTTGTCCTGGGATGAGATATGGCGCGTTGCTGGGCTTTGGATGATGCTGAAAGGACGGTGCTTTTTATTCTCTTTCCTCCTTTGTGTTTTTGAAGACCACTAGTGAAATCAAGACATCAGAAATGGAGGGAAAGCAATTTG